CCCCCCCCCCCCCCCCCCCCCCCCCCCCGTCTCAAAAAAAAAAATGCTCCCCCCCCCAGTATATTCATATTGCCTGGTTATAAGTAATTCCCAGGCGAACCCACACGCCATGGCAGGAGCCACGAACTCCTCCCAAGGGGCAGCAGGCTGGGGGCAGCCTGGGCCCCGCTCCCTTTGTTAGGGGCAGGAGCAGCAGCGCATCCCTAGCGGGTTCCCGGCCCCAGACCCGGCCCGGCGGGGCGATGCCCGCTCCGGACGGCAGCTCCCGGCCAGCCTGGCTCCCGCTGGGCACCGGTGGCAGCCCCCGTACCAAAATCAATATTAACTGATGCACCACTTGTTTGTATTTTTTTTTTTTTTCCAGAAACTTCATCCAGAATAGGGCTCGAGACAGGTAAATGGATTCTTGCCTGATTTTCAATGCTCCTGGAAGGAAATGTAGCCAAAATGCTGGTTTATTTCTTTGTCTTGAAACCACCATTTTCTCCTAAACCTGGCATTCTTAGGTAGGGGGTTAGAGGAGAGGCTGGGGCCAGCAACCCTCCAGGGCACTTCACACAGCCCTTCCTCCTGCAAAGAGTTAACCTGACAGATGCTAGCCGGGCTCCTTTTGGAGAGCCATTTTCTCTCCCTCATTGTCTCACTGCCCTTTGTGTGTGCAATTGCATCCCGCCCCGGGGAGCCAGGAGGAGCCCAGAAATAATCAGGTTTTCAGTCGCTTCTGGCCTTGCAGGGAGCCTTTGTCCCCTGGCTTCTGCCAGGGCTGCCCAGGCTGCCCAGCCCTGAGATCTGCAGACAAAGGGAGGCAGCGCCCGGCACCGCTGCGGCAGCACCAGAGCCTGGGCTGTGCTGGAGCCTGGGCTCTGCCGGGTGGCAGTGAGGGACGGGGAGCGCTGGCAGGGCCGAGGGCAGGGCTGTGTTGGCCCCGCTGCCGGGAGCCAGGGGTGCCCAGATACATCTCGGAGATCGCCTCTCTGGTCACGGGCAGCAGAGCAGCCGGCACTGTGCCTGCAGCGCGGCAGGAGCACACGGGCAGCTGGCAGCAGTGCTGTGCCTGCTGTGCGCGGGCAGCTCGCCTGCTGCCCTGACCTCCTTGCTCCTGCCTGCGGCAGAGCTTGCGCTTCCCTCTGGCCTCCTCTGCTTGAGGGGGTTTTTAGCCGCCACTTAACCTGAATGCTGCACCATACATGCCACCAACCCCGTGTGGCAAGAGGCAGCTCAAGCTCACGGCCGCCATGCACAAGATGCATGTTTGGTTAAGTGCGGCTCGCACAAAATTGTTTTTCACTCCCCTGTCTCCTGGGATGTGCTTCATTGCAGGGCAAAAGAGGCCATCCTGCAGTGGTCACCCCATGCCGACACGTCCCGCCTGCCCCACCACAGGCACCTCCCGCTTGGAGCCAGGCAGGGAATCCATTTGCCAGATGCTCGATGGCATCTCCAGTGCCTGCTGCTGCCCAGTCCCCTGCCGAGCCTGAGCCCGGCTCCCGCTGCTCGGCCCCACGGCAGCTGGTTTGCAAATGCTGCCTGGACGTGCTGTCCCCGCGGGAGGGACTGTCCTGCAGGCAGTGCCTGCAACGTGTGGTGACAATGAACTGCGGGAAGCAATAGCGGCTCCACAGCTAAACTGCAGAGTCATCACAGCCCAGCTCCCCTGAGACCTGTTGCCATCGTGGCTTTTCCACACGGGCAGGGCAGGAGGAGGGCAGGCAGCGTGGGCTGGCTGCGGGTGCAGGCTGGCTGCTGTCCCCAGCCGTGTGCACCCACATCCCTGCAGAGGTGGAGCGGCACCCACCGCAGTGCAGCTGTGACCGCCGGCTGCTTCGCTACAGCCAGCGCCTGCGGCATGTGTGGGAATGAGTGACCTAGCTTAACCACAGGGCAGAGGTAGAGGCAGCAGCGGCAGTGACAGTGGCAACAGCAGTGGCAGTGGCAGCAG